CTTCCTTGGTTTATTTCATTACTTTGTTGTCGACACAGCCATCATAGAGTTTATTATTTCATCCAAGGACTTGGAATCGTTAGATTCTGACGTTGTAGTACGACATGCTAAGGTTTAATTATTGAGGATAACTGTACACAAGCTGCCTATATAAAAATGCCTTGAATCGTTAATAATAGATAGAAGTTCTCTATACATAGCTTGTGAGTTTTTAGTAAGTGGAATAAGATCCTAAATACTAGTTTTGCAAAGCTTGAAAAAGCTTACTGTAACAGTTAATCAGTCAGTAACAACGTAGAACTTCGTACGTACGTACATCAGTTCGAGTTGCCACACTACATTAACACAGAGATGCAGTGGTCGATTCAAATCCCGTAGTGGTATAGGTAATAAAAGTATAAGCAGTAATCGGGAAGATTAGTGTTTGGAGATGTTACTTAAAGAGTATAATACGATGAAATAAATTTGGGAAGAGAAAAAAAGAGACAAGGACGAATCAGGAGATCAGAATTCGGAAGAACACAAAGAGTGTATGCACTTGCGCCATTGCAAACGATCTTGAGCCACTTCATTCAGGGTCTCTAACCATCGGTTGCTATCATCTCGCGGTCCCCAACCAGGTAGTTTACACCTACCGACATGACTCAGTCCACTTGTCAGTGATTTCATGGATTTGTGCCACGTTTTGGTCAGGCCGCCCCTAGCTTTCTTCCAATCTACTTCTGTACAACAAAACATTGTACTTCAAGGCAGTCGGTGGTTGGGCATACGTAACACGTGTCCCAGCCATCTCAACTGATGAAGTTTCACTACGCCATCAATTGATTTGCCATCCTTACCTAGTACCCGTTTCCTAACAGCTGCATTACTTACTCGATGGTCCCATGATATACGAGCAATATTTCGAAGACACCTATGATCAAATACTAGTAACCTACGGATATCCTCTACTCTTACCGGCCATGTTTCACTGCCATAAAATAGGACGGAACGAACTGCTGCGCAGTAAACCTGTCCTTTGGTTGATAGACGGATATCTCGTCTACGCCATAAATGACGCAAGTTGGCAAAAGCTAGTCGAGCCTTCTGTATCCGTGCTGAGATTTCGTCACACACCAGACCACAAGGGCTGATGAGACTTCCAAGACAAGTGAAGCGATCGACACGCTCAATTACTTCACTCCCTATCATTAGTTCGGGTGTCAATGCAACCCAATCCTGAAGCAACATTTTGCATTTCGAGGGGGAGAATCGCATGCCGAACATGCTTGCATTGGTACTTAGAGTGGTAAGAAGACTGCATTTTTTCAGCGTCTTCGCCAAATAAAACTATGTCATCAGCATATTCTAAGTCAACAAGTGAACCTCCCGGTAGAAGTTCAACCACTGGAAATCTAGACGAGGAAAGTGTTATCTCTAAAAGTACGTCGACGACAAAGTTGAACAAGAATGGAGAGAGTGGACAGCCCTGACGAACACCACTTGAGGTAATCAATTCTGCTGACAGTTCACCATAAGCTCTCACTCGACCAGTTGTGTTCGAGTAGAGAGCCTTTATAAGGTTAATGTACTTCTTTGGTACTCCTTTCAGTGACAAACTCTGCCATAGAACCTTGCGATCAACAGAGTCGAATGCTGCCTTAAGGTCGAGAAATACTACGATTGTGGGGCGTCCGAATGTGTGTCAGTGTTCTAGAACCTGACGTAGTGTGAATATCTGGTCTATACAATCACGTCCACGTCGAAAACCAGTCTGATTTCCTCTAGTCTGCTCTTCACGAGCTTTGGTTAGGCGTCGAAGTATTATTGAAGCTAATATTTTAGACACTATATTAGTCTCACTGATTCCTCTGTGATTGTCACAAGACTTTTGCCCTTTCTTATAGACTGGCACAACCAGTGATTGAGACCAGTCAGATGGGATTACGTCCATTTCCCGAATTCTACCTAAGACTTCAGTCAATCTCACTGGTAATACTGGACCACCATCCTTAAAAATCTCAGGAGTAAACCTGTCAGGGCCTGCTGCTCTCCCTTGCTTCAGATTTCCTATGGCTTTTTCAACTTCGTGAAGGGACGGAGGACCTACATTAACTTGCCATTCAGGTTGACTAGAGATCGTGGGAAACCGAAGTGTGGCTGAAGGCCAGTTGAACTGATCCCTAAAGTGTTCTGCCCATCGATCCAATCTCGCGGATTGAGAATGTATAATATGTCCATCTTTCTCTGAGATTGTTTCGCTAACGGTCGGGGTCCTAATTCCGGTTTCCTTAACGAGTCTGAACAATTGTCTGCTATTACCTATTGCCGCTGCCTTTTCCATCTCTCTTGCTTTCGCTACCCACCACTGTTCACGATCATTGTGTAGACTTCTTGTCAGCTTGCGCTTAAGCTGACTCCGCTCTTCATTATGTTCAGACCCAGGTGGAATGAGTTTCCGAGCATCTATCAGTGCGATAGATGCTGCTGAGATCCAGTGTTGCTCACTAACTTTACGGGTTACCGTGCTAGCAGATATCACTGCTGTTTCCACAGCTTTTCGGATATCATTCCATGCTACCTCGGGGTGGGTATCACTTACATGGCTGCCTAACTGTTTTCCTAGTTGTTCCCGAAATATACTCTTAGCTTGACTATCATTGAGTAGGCCCCTCATAGGTTTCCTTGTAGCGTCTTTCCTACATCCAGTAAGACGCAGGCAAATACGCGTTCGCACTAGAGCATGATCTGATTCTAAGCATGTGCTCCAGAATGTCCGACAGTCTTCTATCGAGCCCCTACATCGGTGGCTGATGGCGATGTGATCTATTTGGGTCCAATGTTGGGACGAATTAGGGTGTTTCCATGTCAAAAGATGTTCTTCCTTATGCTTAAAGTTAGTATTTGCAAGAAAGAGGCGGTTATCTGAGCATAGCTGCAACAGACGGTCGCCATTATCTGTTCTTTGAGCCACGATGCTATAAGATCCACCTAGGTTTCTTTCCCTATCGCTTAGTTTACCTACTTTAGCATTAAAGTCACCGGTCACTATTACTGCATCAGAGCGCCTAGCTTTTCGGAGAAGGTCCGAAAGCTTTCTGTAAAACTCATCTTTGACATCATCTGAGCTGCAGTCAGTGGGAGAATAGGCAGAGACGACGAAGAGGCAACGACGAGTGTCCCTATCTTTTCGGATCCTTACTGTTCCGTTCAGTCGGACAGCGCACAAACGACTGTCTACTGGGATCCACTCTAAGAGAGCTAGTTCTGCCCTAGGACTCAATACTATACCTACGCCGGCGAGGCCACGGGAAGCAGAATCAGGGCTTCCAGATACACGAATTGTGAATCGAGTTGGTTCTTTATTTTGATATGCTTAGGTCAAATGAATGACGCTACTCGGATCCTGTATGCGCGTTTCGGAGACGCAGCACACATCGATGGCGCGGGATTCTAAAGTCCTGGCTAAGGAAGCCTCCTGTCCTACTTGGCACAGTGTTCGGACGTTAAAAGCTCCTACGTGCAGTTTAGAGCGTGGTTTCAGGAGACCAGGAATAGCGTTCCACGTACTCGAATCGTTTGCCCTAGCGGTGCGAGATGATAAAGAGACATGAGGAGGGTTAGTCATAGAGATTCGAGAGGTATTAGGAGGTGTAGGAAGGATTTGAATGTGACCAAGTTGGTCTCGTGTGCTGTTACGGGTATGAGGGCTGATATCACTTCCAGGCTGTCCACACCGTGGAAGGGTATTTCTTGAGGAACCTGAAAAGGAAATTGGATTAGTGTTGGTCTTGACGACCTGGGAGCGTGACCGCAGAGTTCAAAAGGACAACTGCCTGAGGACGGTCACGCATGGCCTTTTTATGGGAAGTTTTTAACGTGTTAGCTCCATTCTTCAAAAAGCCTTACCACCGGAGACGGAAATCCATGAAGTAAGGTGAGGTGTGACATTTTTAGGGTCAACCTTTTCTAACCCCACCTCTCCTTGTGGGAAGACAGCATCGCTGTCATGCTGGTTGTCCGAGGGAAACCCCTTACTGCTGTCACACCCCTCTACAGTCAGCAGTACGACTTCGCCCTCAGTTCTTGAGTTGCTGCTTTTAGTCTTACCATTCACCAGTCGACCTGCCTGACATGGTAGAACGTACATGTACATATGTTCCAGCCAATATAGATCGGTTGGGTCATCACGATAGGCAAGCCCGACCACCGCGTCAAGGTAGCAGCTTCGGTCGGGAACGGAAAGAACACGCTGAAAACCCCCTCAAGTATTTTATTTCATAGCATTGTTATTTGTTTGTTCTTTTTTCCTGTTTAGTATTCTAGCCTTTATTCAGGTCTCCATTAATCACATCTTATGTTCTTCAGTCTTCCGGCAGTAGTCCCAGAGGGACTACAGGCGGAGTTCTTTAACATTATAGAAAATAATAAATATTTCTTAATCAGTTGTTAAACTATCCCATCCCTTTCATTTCACTTTGGATATTGTATTATCAACTATAGTGAACGTATGTCAATCTCATCATTAATCACTTGCATCAAAACATAAACCCCAATAGACTTGGTGGTCGGGCTTTCTTATGGCGATCGCTCGAACTATAATGACTGAACCACTCATTCCTTTAGGTCTCATCACTTCAGACAGGTTGCTCAAGATTGATGTTCTGAGGGTGAATTCGTACTGGTGACTACAAGAGTGCGACGACAGTAAGGTACTTCCTTACTCCATCGTTTTTCATCACCGGCAGTAAGGTCCGAAGTGTATGGATCTAACATTTCAAAAGCTTCTCAAGAAAAGATAGTATGTGACTGGCTTCAAATCGTTATATCTTTCATCTTCTATTCTTGTTTGGTTATTTGTTAGTTGTATAATCTTCTGGTCATATATTGTCTGTAATAGTATAGCTTCATTTGTGTGTAGATATTTTCTGGTCCCGGAACAAATGTGCTATGGATAAAAGTAAAGGCAAAATTAAGTTATGCTCCAAAATGATAATTATTTTGTGCTTATTATTGCGTAGGCTATCGTACGGACAGTGGAATGTCACACAAAGATCAAAGTGGATCAAAATCACGTTCAAACTGTTATTCCTGAACCATCATCAACAGTTCTTATTGTTAATGGCGCATACCGAGGAGAGTACGCTACGTTAGAGCAAGTTTTTAAAGAAAAGAATATGTGTGAAATAACAGTGATGACCGTAAGTTTTCTTATTAATACTTTTAATATTGTTTTACGTTCTGTTTTGACTCTGTAACTAAATCTCCAAATGTTTGAATATTTTGTCTGGCAACCCTTTCTCTCGATCATTTTAATTACTTATCGTAATCTGATTTCTAATTACTGCTCTCTTACTTTACATCATTTAATAGCAATCGCCCTGTATTTTGCATCTGATTTCTCAAGTATGTTTGATTTTCAATTCAAAATTATTGCTAGTTCATGTTCCACCTTTTTGTGTCTAAATCATCTATTCCCACTTTTCAAATTTTAATAGTGTTATGTTTTATGGACTGAATGATTTAATCATGAGACTTCCATTGACGTTTTTGAGAAGACATTAGTACAAACTCCAAAATGTAGTAGTTGCTAGGATTTCTCCGCAAATGAGTAATATTCCTGCACTGCCAATATGGAACGTGACTGGTTGTTGTAGGTGATTTTGCTGTTCTTATCTGGGCATGTTATTTTATTGCATTTGTAGCACAAATACTTTGGTAAAACTGGATACCAGAAGAATGAGTCACAATATCTAAATACGTTTTGTAATTGTTTGGACCATGTTACTGAAAAGAAACAAAATACATTTAGAAAGCATTTAGCAAATGAGAAAAATAATATCCTTAAGGTTAAAAGTCAGATTAAAGAAAATGGCAGGTAAATATTTCTACTTACAGTTACAAAACAATTACTAATAACATCCTATCACATACCGTATTAACGCAACAACTTTTAGCCACTTATAACAAATGTCTAGTAGCTGCTTTATCGTTGAGGTCTTTCCTTATGGTTATGTTTGAAAAATAATAAAAGCTTCATAGTTAAATCAATAGTTTAAGAGAAAAGAACATCAACTACAAAGCTTTTTTTAAAAGTAACATTTATGTCATTGTTTTTCTAAGCTTAGTACATTTGCAAAATGAGCAAACGTTTATATGAGTTAACTTTTCGCGGTGAAGTGTGCCAATAGACCCTAGCGTACAACACAATGCTTAAGTCAGTACCTTAGTGATCAAATGACTCGTGTAGTTATGTCACAAGTTCAAACTCCGTCCCACCATTTCGGCTTGAGTAACCTGGTAATACACTAATCTAAAAAATTACAGCTTTACTCTTTTGGACCACACTTCAGGTATGAGGGTATTGATACAAATTGGCACCCCACACCAATGTAAATGGAGCGAAACCCCAACCCACAACACATTGATCGAAAGCTGTTTTTGACCTATTAGCCACCACTTTGTACGTAACCATGTTATAATAATATCCTCTAAAGCTGAGCACGTAGACCTCTTGGTAAAGTAGTTACATTACCGATAGTTTTTGAAACTCGAAATAACCATTTCATTTTTCTTCGAAGTAATTCTCGTAATCATATTTATCTATATGTTAGAGTTTACATTTATAAAGACTCAAGTTCTTGGTCATTTTCTTAAAACATTGTACTCACTCAGACTACGGGAGTCTAAATATCACGGACTGGTTGTAGTTAAATAGCCACTGTAAAGCAGTAAACCCTGGACATGTTTCATCCTGGTATGGTAGTCCTCAGTATTGCTCATCCAAAATCCTACCGAGGATCCAACCTAGGACTTTGTTGTCCCGTTACAAGCCCCTAACCTTTAGATCACCAAACCACCATTTAAAGGTTCACATTTTTTACTTGAATCAGTTAGTGCTATTACCGAAACATCTTCCAGTGCGATTGGGGGGTAACTCGTATATTTAATAAGGTTATGGGTGAATAGTGACGATGGGCCTGATACCAGGAGAAAATGGCCGTCTAATGCTTTCTGGTTTCCGATGATTGTCTATGCTTGGTCTGGTGTAAATTATTAGATTCAGAAACTCCCTATACCGATAATAATGGTGTTTTAGTGTCTTATTCGCTTTTGGTGTAGAATTGACATCAATATAGTCTTAAGCTATGTAAAATGTTGCGTACGCCCAACCACCACCTACTTCTAAGCGAAATGTTAACTGACGAAATAGGTTGAAAGGTATCTATGGGCCCTAAAACCAAGATAATATCAGCCTTAATGACACAGATACATTCACTCTTTATTTTCTTCTGGGTCTTGAGTCCCATTATTCCACCATACATACCTTCTCACTCTCTCTTCGAACCACATTCTGAATACTTAATCTCTCCCGTTATCATTACGACTACATTATTTCGACTCCTTTGCTATTCATCTTATTAATTGCATCTTGTCATGGCGATATAGTAAGAAAAAGTAATGTGATACACGTCTGTACAAGGTTCTGCATTGATTATAACTAACTAACAAACTACGTGAAGTGTAGAAAAGTCATCACAATAATTTCAATATCACCTTCTGACCTTATTTCTACATTTGTAGGCTTTTAAGATAGTAGGCATTATTTAATAAATATTATTTCAGAAGAGTTCGTATTCTCTCATATTCTTCCCATTGCCTTGTTTTCATTGGCCTTCCTCAGAAGCGTAAGTGTTAATCTTTAGTGCTTCTGGCTACTATACACGTGTTCTCAGCTAGTTATGTCAGACTAAACTGATTAGTTTTTTTGTTTTTGAATCTTTCCGAATTAAAAATTCCATTCCCGAAACTAGTGGGAATTTGTCAGTCAGCCTGCATTGATCGACTTCACCTTTTATAGTAGTAATATATTTTTTGGACTTGCGTGCTTTTATTAAAATCATAATGGTGTAAATATAGGGGGTTCTGTGGCGTTTTCGTAGTTCGCTTTCCATTTGGTAGGAAAATCAACTTGCAGTTATCGGTGAAAATGAATATATTGTTTCAACATGTCTCACACGGCAATTTATATCATCAGCACAGCATAACGAGTATGTTTCAATGGACTTCACAAATTTTCTATCAGTTATGATGGTTTACCATTTCTTTTTTAGGGTCTGTGTATGGGTCGTCTGGTTAAGAACGTTTCTTTGGATGATATTTGCAAATTGTCAGAAGCAAGACAGGAACGGTAGAATTGTTTTCAGTTGTCCTTAGTAATATAGACTTCTGTTGTTCATTTATAATGTACAGTACTTCCAAATAACAACCAGATATTTTTCTCATGTTGTTGTTAATTAAAAACAAGGTTCATTTTTGATCAGTTTTAAGATTCGTATCACTTTTTTTTCAAGATAACAAATATATTTAAAAAACAACTGATCATATTGTTATATAAATGGTTTCAGAGTCACGGTGGATATTCAAATTTCTGTCTGATAAAATATTATCAAAGTGTCTGGCGAGGGTTTGTACGCATAATTTTTAAAATTATAGAAAACATTCTGGTCAATGATCTCTGAATATGTAGGGAACGATCAAATTTTCAGTACTACAACAACCAATTATACATTTACTGTTGTTCTTAAGTACAACCTTTTTGAGGCGGAACTCAAGAGAGTTCCTTATTTCTGAGAGTTGTGCTAACACTATAAGTTAAATGTAAGTCCAACATTATGCTACTGTCAGCATAACTAAATTCACAAATAAAAATATTTGTATAATCCAATCTGATTCCCCGCACGAATGGATTACTATCGATTACAAATCAGTGGGGAGTTTTGGGGTTAATTATTTGTTAATATATACAAAAACTCTTAAGGTAGTAAGGATATTTAGTGGTTAACAGACTTAATTAACGATCAATTACAACGTAAAGTCGAATAATGGGCTTTTTCTTATTTTAACTAAAATTTTTATTTGAGCACATAAATATTGATACAAAGGGGTTCGAAATACATATACGTCATACAATAACAATGAGAACGTGAAGATATAAAGAATGTAAGGTGCTTATGGGAAAAAGGGGAACAGTAACAAATAGAAATTGGTATATAATAAAGAAATAATAATAACTGAAGAAGCAGTTAAGTTAGCAAAAGTACAACTAGAAATAATTCTCCCAGTTAAAGAAGATACAACCAATTTTTATGAAGAAAGTAAAAGAAGGTTACAGCAGGATCGCCACTGGCTTCTATTCTGAGCCATATCTGATAACATCTCTAGCCACTGTGTCGCACCATCTCTCGGACCCAAGCCAGGGAGTCGTGAAGGCCCAACAGAAGCCAGCCTTCTGCAGCTTTCTTTCATGCCACGACACTACTTCATGCACTGACTACCTCTCCACTTTTTCCAACCAGTCCCAGAGTCGGCAAGTAATGCATGACGTGGAATTCTCTGGGACGACATTCGTAGAACATGTCCAAGCCACCGAAGTCGGTGTTTCAAGATGGTGACACCAATTGCATGATCGTCTATGTGCCCGAACACACGATCCCGAACCTCTGCATTACTAACATGGTGTTGCCACTGTACGGCAGCAATCCTTCGGAGACAACGATGATCGAACACAGAAAGTCGTCTAACGTCCTCAACTCGGAAAGGCCAGGTTTCACAAGCATAGAGCAAAACTGCTCTCACCGACGCGCTGTATATCCGACCTTTAACAGCCAGACTAACATCACGAAGGCGCCAAAAATGGCCCAGATTGGCATAAGTCGCTCTGGCTTTCACTACACGTGCATTGATCTCATCACTCACACCCCCACTAGCACTTATGCAGCTACCCAGATACACGAACTTCTCGACTACTTCTATCTGCTCACCATCCAGGGTGAGTACAGGATTAGAATCCTGCCAGTCTTGTAGAAGTACTTTGCACTTCGAAGGTGCAAAGCACATACCGTACCTACGGACATTGATTGCCAACTGATTAAGTGCGGATTGCATGGCTTGGGCATTATCGCGCAGTAAGACAATATCATCCGCATACACAAGGTTGGGAAGTCTTTCTCCAGGCAACAGATCCACACCGCCATTACTTACATCCATCAGAGCTGTTTCCAGAATGTCATCAATGGCAAAGTTGAAGAGGAATGGTGAGATTGGGCAACCCTGCCTAACCCCACTGCTCGAATAGAACAATGGAGAGAGGTGGTTGTATGCCCACACTCTGTCTGAGGTGTTTGTATATAGGGCTTTTAGGATGTTAATAAACTTCTCAGGCACACCCTCCTTCAATAGACAATCCCAGAGAGCAGTCCTGTCCAACGAATCGAAGGCAGCCCTGATGTCGAGAAACACTACGATTGTTGGCCTTTGATAAGTATGACGGTGTTCTAACATTTGGCGGAGAGTGAAGATATGATCAATACATCCTCGACCAGAACGAAAACCAGCCTGCTCCTCGCGAGTCAATCTTTCTCGGGTTTTGAACAACCTACGAAGTATGACGGAAGCCAATAGCTTGGACGCAATCGGAAGTAGACTTATCCCCCGATAGTTGTTACAGGAACGAAGTGAACCCTTTTTAAAGATAGGGACAACTATCGACTCATTCCATGACCTCGATACACACTCTAGCTCCCAGACCTCAGTAAACAACACAGTCAGTTCCTTAGTCAGAAAGTCACCACCATCTTTAAAAAGAGCCGGAGGTAAGTCATCTGGGCCTGGTGATTTGTAGCGTCTCAAGAGTTGGAGTTCCTTGTGGCTTCCGCCTCATTTGGTGGATCAGTCGTCACCGACCATGGAGGGCAGAACAGCCTGATCGATGTTGCCGGAGCAGCGGGCCAGTTGAACTGCCCTCCGAAGAATTCCGCCCATCGTCCAAGACGTTGATGGGTGTTGGTGTTTGGCATCCCGTCATTCTCTTAGGTTGTTTCGCGCACATCAGCCTCCTTGCTGCCAGTGGCTCGGATGAGTTGGAAGAGCTTCCGGTAGTTACCAGGTGCAGCTGCTGCTTCCAGCTCATTAGTACGCTCCGACCATCAGGCTTCTCGGTCCTTACGCAATTTTTGCTTAATTTCATTACGTAACAGTCGTCGTTTGTGGTCAAACTCACGGTTACCTGGAATAGACCGACGGGCTTCAATGAGTTGTAAGGAACCAGAAGAAACCTAGTGCTCATAAGCGGGACGTTTCGCGAAGCCGCAAGCGGCTTTACTCGCCATTTTGATGGCGTCATGAAGTTGCAACCAATGCTTATCTATACTTTTCGGTGGAATGGTAGCTAGCCTAAAAGCTAGCTCGGTTAGATACTTACTAGCAACAGAAGTTGCAACCAACTTGCTGACATCAATCATTTGGTGGCAGTCACTTCGTTGGCCACTGAAAAGTAAGGTAAGACTGACGCAGACCAGGGTACGATCAGAGTACAGATAGGTACTCCAAAAGGAGCGTCGATTTACTCCTCTCAGAATGCACACATAATAGCAACAACTATTTGAAAATATAAACCATTGCCAGTTGAACTAAGTGGTTTAAAGTACTGGAGGAATATCAATATTTGCGACCGTCTTATGCATAAAATAAGTAGTCAATCACTGATAAGTTATAATCTAATTGCGATTAATCAAGTTTCCAAACATTTCTCATATTTTAGATAATCTTGACTACCGATTGACTAATCTTGTGTATTTATGAAACAGACCATACTGTAGGAATAATCTGAATCATCTTGTTGGACATTCGGTCAGCTTCAGACAATGAGACAGTTGGGACGATTGTTTTCTAGTTTCACTTCCCACCCATTCAACAGAGGTTACTGAAAAGTAGGAACAATATCAATAATGACATTAAAGAACCAGACGTGAGAAGTACAATTGAGAAGGGAAGGTTGCGGCGAAACTAATTTAGGGACGAGCCAATCAGAAGCGTTTGAGCAATTTTTACTTTATACTGTCTTCTGATTGGCTATTAATTGTCAAGGTCGTTTAAGATTCGTTCAAAGGTCGTCCCTAAATTAGAGTCTCGCCAAGGTTGCAATTAAGGAACGAAATGTATGTTCAGAACTTAGCGGGAGATAGAGAAATGTTATCACTATAATCAAGTTCGGTCCATGTTGTTTAGTTTCCAACTACATAACTATAACGAAGCCGTAATCTAGGAAATATAGACGACTTAGAACAGCTCTTCGACATTGTGGGTTAATTCTGTGCATCTGGTTCCATTTTTCAGCCTGCATTTATGCTATTTAGGAGGGGGAAACCAGTTAAATTTTCCGATACATAATTGTAATAAGGGTAGTCCAATTTGGTTATTATGGTTACAGTTAGTGGGTTTATGTGAATGTTCGTTAATTATATTACCTTCAATCCCCAGAAACATCTATTGTTTATTACTATTCTTGTTTGAGGGTTTTTGGGACATCGACAAACTGTTTCCAGAAGGAAATTAGTCAGAAAAGCTAACTAGTGCCAAATATTTAAAATGCCTACAGTTATTATTAGTGAAATTGAACAGCCAATAATTTTTAATGACGTAACAGAAGAAACGTCGATGTTGGAGTACAGGTTCATCCAGTAGATTTTTACTAAACAAGATGAAACGGGGATCTAAAGCGTCATTAGTAATCACTACTTCAATTCTTTAATGTTTTTGGAAGTTAAGTGAGACTGGGATTTTGTTTCAGAAAATCATATTACGTAATATATGATAAAGTTGCAAATAGTTAAGTTCATTCCATTTTGATAAAATCGAGTCAGTAACTTAAATTTGAGAGGACTGTGGCGATATGTATAAAAGTCGTACCAAAAAAGTATTTACTATAGTTGAGGTGATATAAGCGGAATACAAAGCTTCACTGCTTGAATGAAAAACAAATGTTAAATTACGATAAGTTTTACTTGGGACACAATTTAGTCACGACTGAATTATCCTTCAAAATTTCACCAGCATATCTCAACAATGTTCAAACTAGACAGATGTGAATAAATACTCAATATTTATTCATCATGGTATTCGTAAATGTAACTAGTATGGTTGTAATGGCTCATTGAATTATCTGTCATGTATATGAGCTATGCATCAATAGTTAAATTCATGAGTCGATTGAAGCTAAGCCACCATGGAAAACTTGGAAGCACTAGACGACTGTTTCGTCATATTGTGTCACTCCTCAGCAGAGGGCATCCACGATCACACCTCGTGAGGTTCGAACCCAGGACCTAACAGTCTCGCGCACGAGCGCTTAACCACTAGACCACTTGAGTAGGCATCCGATGGTGTTAATGTCTAACTTCAAACAATCCACAAAGTTGTGCCACCGTCCACCAGAAGCCAAAACTTATAACGCTGACAATATAGAGAATGAGGTCTCATTGAGTAAATGGAAGGGTATATTATGTACGTCCAAAACAAAACAGTACTGTTTCAAGCTGTCA